TAGTCCCACATATATATATGTCTATATATATACATATATATGTATGTGTATATATATATATATATATATATATGTATGTATATACATATATCTTGGATTGATTTGTTATTAAAAAAAATTATAGAACATACAGCTTTTGTACATTGGATGGGTCAGTGAAAATCTGCTATTACAGTAGCGTCTGTGCTGCCATTCTCGGTCTTGACTATTTCCGATTCTCTGGAAAAAACGATGAAAAAGGTAACAAAAATTTGTTATAAATTTATTCTTTATTTTTATTTGACGAAAAAAGATTTGTTAGCAAAGTGTTCAGGGAAAAATATTAACGTAAAAGTAAAATATTTGCAAAGTATAATCCTGATGCGTTAGAAATAAATGAATCGCGAAAAGTAAAACTTAGAGAAAAAAAAAAAAGAAAGAGAAAATAAAAAAAAGAAAGAAAAAATACAACTACAACAAAATATACGATTAAAGAGAAAAAAAAAAAAATAAAACGAAAAAAAAAACAAAAAAAAAAGGGAACGTATTGCTTTGAGGATTAATACTGCACAAGATATTCTGCTTTTGTACATTATTTTATTATGAAGTATTTGCTCTGGACAGATCTCCATTTATTACAATTTTTTGTTTACTCTTCTCAACGTATTTACAATCGTTACGTCTTCTGGGAAAAGAAAAATGGAAGAAACATTTTCTTTGTCGCGCTTAAATCGAATTAATAATATTTGAAATTTGCATTTTCATTCTAAAATATCGTATCGTACCGGCGATATTATTTTTCAAGATGAAATATAGAATTTATCGTTATCTTTATAATAATACCTAAATTTCCCATGAAGAAAAATTGATGATAAATATGACGATGAAAATAGAAAACTTGAAAATAAATAACAAATGTGCTGATACTTTAAGCAATGCACCGATTCTTACAATTAACGTAGAAATATTTACGTAAAATGTAGACGAATCGTTGACTAAAATCTACAAATCGTACATATGCATATAGATAGTATAATCATAAAACTGGTCGTGTGAGGGGAGGAGGGAGGGGAGGGGTGTGGGTGTGGGTGGGGGTAAAAGGGGAAGGTGAAAACCGCTTACTTGTGCAATAAGTGTAACAGATATACCGGTGCAAGATTAATTAGCTGTGAAAAAACGATCGTTATTGGATGTACTACTTACACGCATTGTGTTTATTATAAAACGATCGATATCTATTTCTTTATAAGAGAAATGAGACTATCTTAATTTCTATATAATATTTTGAAATGTATCACACACATTCGTTATTATAAAATCTTATTAATTTTTAATTTACCGTATTAAATAGGTTCACATTTATAATTTCTTTTTAACCGAATACGGTAAGTATTTATATGATTTAATCAAACTATTATTCTTAAATAATTTCCTAAGAGCAATTTTAAAAGCATTAACATATCTATCTTATTATTAGAATTATCCCAAAGCTATTGGGAACATGAAAAATATGTGGAGCACCGTGTACTTTTATCGAGGAATGTGTATTAATTATTAATAATATACTGTTGAAAAATATAGACGGGTTCGATGAAGTACCAGGTGCACAGCCAAATTTTACAAAAATATCATCAATAGCTATAGCCATTACGACTTAATATTGCGTTACGCTCTGTTTCCAAGATTTTAAAAATTTCCTGACTAGAAAGATACAAAAGTGTGAAAGAACTATAATTTATCTAACCTTGTATCTTTATCCAAAATACCATATTATTATCTACGAATGTATCCAAAGAAGTCCTACGATAAAAAAAAGTTTTGCATCTAGATTTTTATACTGTTAATTTTTCTTCACTGCAAAAGGAATTAACATAATAAAGCACCTTCGATTTTTTTTTCTTTTTTTTTTTCTTTTTCTTTTTTTTTCTATTCCTGAACACAGGCATTCCCACTGTACGCAATGTACGAAGGTATATATTATATATATACATAGTCAATGATATATATATATATACAATATACATGTACGAAGATGTATATATATATATACATATATGAATAGGTATAGTAAATAATATAATCACCAACATTCGTGTATCATTAGCAAAATGTTGGTGTTCCATTAACAAATATAATAAACAATTGCATATACAAATATACAAGCACATTTGTATTCAAAATCGACAAATAATGATTCAGTTATTGTAGTGCTACTCCTTTGGAGCAAAACCAATTCGACTCAATTATGGCATTACTTACTCAAGGCCCAGAGCCCAATTGATACCTTGCACTAGGAACAGAATTAGTGGTTGCCATGCAACTAACCACCTTATCCAATCCAATAATTGACCATACAATACATGTGGCCGTTCCCATCTTTAAAAATCATTAAGGCTGATATAGCATATATATACATACATATAATATATTGTAAAAAGAATTTTTTTTATCTGCAAAAGGATACGGATTGCGAAACATCTTTTTGAGGTCCACTTTTTCCTTACAATAAGGACATGTCTGTTTTTTCCCTACGATGCACCAACCTCTAATGCAAAATTCATGAAAGACATGTTCGCAGCTAAGTTTAAATGTATTTTCAATAACACCTTCTTCTTCTTCTGAAACTAAAAGCTTGTTTCCACATACAGCGCATACTCCTGGCTCTAAAGTTCTTGTTGGCATACTGCCTGGAGCATAATACTGTAAATTATATAAGATTTTATGAACATCATAATAATTTCATAATTTATTTCTATAAACTACTCACTCCTATGTGTGAAGCCATTTTATCAGCACATATCTCAGCAACATCCCTTCCAAGAACACCAAAATAAAGGCCATAAAATAAGAAAAGTATACCACAATCCATCCAAATTTGAGGCTTCACGTTAAATGCAAGATTCAAACCAAAAAATGTTGCTAATACTATAATATATCCAATTATACCCAAAACATAACTAAGCTTGTAAATAAAGTAAAACCACTTGTACACTAATCTGTAAAAAAAAAAATATATATATATATATAACAAACAGTTCAATGAACTATTTTAAAAGTAAAATATAAAACTTATTATTTTATAATAACAATCATACCTAGGAGTTGTACCCTGTATTGGTTTCTGAATAGCTTTTCTTACTACAAGTCCTGTTATACATGAGGAGACTAACCACAGAAAAATAAATCTCCACCAGTGATTATTTAGACTCATACCAAATGGTATTATCCACATAACTATCAATGTTATTAACTACACAAAAATTATATATTTCTTAATGTGTCAATGATATGAAATATTATTAATATGATTAAGACGTACTTTATTTTACCTGATATGATTTAAAATGTCTCTTTTTCCATTCAATTAAAATGACTTGTGCTACCGTTAATGTCACTAATAAAATTAGTAACATTTCAGCATGCATTGATTCATGGCCTTGATGCTGTTTGTGCATCTTTATATGTTCTACCCTGAAAAATCATTAAATTTTACATTAACACATAATAAATTTCTTTACTTGTTAAATATTACAACGTACAGTTATTACAATGAATAATAACTTTATATTATTATAAATAATTTACCTCCATTTTTCTGCAGCAGTCATTTCTGCTTCACTCTAGAAAAATTAAAGATATTATTTATTTCATAATATTATAAACATATCTATAAACATATTGGATATTATTAATTAAGTTTCAACTTGCTTACAGTAAATGAATATGACATGGACAATGTGTGCACACATTTTATCTTTATGTAAACATAAAAATAATTATAATGATAATGTCATTTTTGAATTCTTCATGCAATTTAAGAGGTTATACTTTGCGTATATCATTTATTTTTCTAAAGTACTATTATTAAAAGATTAAAATGTAAATTTATAAAAAAATATATACACACTTTATTTGGCATTGTATGCAGATCCATCGTTTATAGTATTTTTAACCAACAGTGAACAAATAGATTTTAACAAGCTGGCATAATGTACCCGTTGCTGGGTGGCACATCTTAAGGTGCTGTTCACACTGACGTTGATAAATTCATATCAAGAATAATCATAAATTATTCTTAAATATCTGTATATAAAGAAATGTTTAGATAAAAATAATTGAAGATAAAATAAGATCGATTGTATATTAATTAAATTAAATATATAAAAAAATTTCTTCAGAACTTTTTCTTATGCATCAAAAAATCTGAACATTTAAATAATTAATATTTTGTTTTTAATTCCCGCCTTGCAATAAGTCAGCCATATTGACTTTATAAAAAAAAAAAAACAAATAATGTAATGCCGGGTGACACTTAATAAAATTTATATTAATAATATTTTAAATAATAATCATTTGATACATTTTTCACGATCATATAAAAATTTCTAAATAAAAACTAGTCCAAATTATGGATTTCTTTTTTATATATTGCTAAATAAAAATTAAAGCAAGTTAATCGTTATAAAATACAAAGTCTTATTATCGAGCCATTTGTTGAAAATAGAAAGTAATTTAATTTTCCACCCGTTGTATATAATGAAGCATTACCTGAGATATAAATATATATAAGTATACGTAATATATCTGTATGTAACAGAATTTACTTTACGATAATATAAAGTATCAATAATAAAATCTAAACATACCTTATAAGATCAGTGAAAGTTACTTATAAATTACAAAAAAAAGAAGTTGTAACATTATCAAATAATATTTTTGTACAAGTCGTTACACGGTACGAATCCGATATTAAAATATAACATGGAAAAAGAAAAAGAAAAAACTATACGTAATAAATAACACAGTATAATTTCAATAATCATTTCAAGATACATAAATGTGTAACATATTTGATAGTTTTAAAGTCAAAAATAAAAATATTTTTAAATTTCGCGGTAGGTTAGTTATCAAGATGGCGTCGAATTATTGTCGATTACGATAGCGCCGCCTAGTATAAATACGTTCGGAATTGTTCGTAGGTAGTCGGTCGTTGACGGCAGATAAACCACGCCCATCGGAGCCGATCAGAGAGGGAAGCTGGTAACTCATTTCGTGAAGGAGCGACATGAGCGCTTGTACCGTTTCTTGAGAGAAGGCGCGACGCGATTACGACGGATTCCATTGCTATAAAATACGCGCGACGGAGAAGTGTCAGCCGGTCTTGGGATCGTTCGTGAGTTCAGTGAGTAGTGTACAAGTGCGTGATTGGTTTCATTTCGGACACGTGGTTACAATTTAGATTAAGTATTGGAAGACGCTTCGAAAGAATATCGGCTTACGAAGAAGGAAGATCGTTTAGCCTCGAGGAATTACTTTCGAGTAAGTAAAGAACGAGACAGAAGGAAATACGAGAAAATCTAACGTTTTAATATGTGCGTTTAAAGGACAATTACATGGATCGAATTGTTCCTATGTATATACATACATATATACATAACTACATATGTATGTGTGCGTGTGTGTGTATATTGTATCCTTTTGACAGCACCTCGATGAATTCTACATAATTTGCCATGCATCGGTGCATATATGACGACGAAAGAGAAAAGAAATATATAGTATATACGACACGCATCGTGGCGAATCACGATCGAATTACATTTATTTTCTTTCAACGATATTATTCCTCTAAGGATAAATATTCTTCAAGATATTAAATACAATGATAGATTCTCGTTAGTAAAAGAAAAGAAAAGAGAGAGAAAAAAAAAAAGAAGAAGGAAAGCTTAGTAATATATGTTCTCGATATATATATCTATATATGTATATATATATATATATATATATATATATATATATATATATATTTGGCATGTTGACTTTTTAATGCTTTCTGCTTAGAATCTGTTTACGTAAAATCCCAGTCGAGTTGACCGAGGTTAGCGGTGATTACGTAGAACACGACGCGCAGCGATGTTCACGGGTAAAGAATTTGAAAAACATTTCCGCGTGTTCTCTCTTCCTACGAAACGAGAACGATCGATGTTTAGATACCAAACGTTTTCTTTTTCTTCTTTTTTTTTTTCTTTTTTATTTTCTTTTTATATGTTCTTTTTTCTTTCTCAGTTTACAAAAAAAAATACGTTACAGATAAAATTGAAATTTGTTAAATTTTAAGAGATTTGTTCAACCTTAATGCGTAACTAGTTTCGTTTTAACGTCGAACGAAAAGTTTTTAAAACTCTTTGCCTTTCTCTCTCTCTCTCTCCCTCTTTCTCTCTCTTTCTCTCTCTCTCTATCTCTCTTTCTCTCTCTCTCTCTCTCTCTCTCTCTCTCTCTCTCTCTCTCTCTCTCTCTCTCTCGTTTTAACAGGTAGTCCTCGTTGTCTGTCGTACGTTCGTTCGTTCGTTCGTTGGTTGCCACATCGTAAAGATTTTGTCTAACCTAAGTGACCCTGAATGCACATAGAACCGAACGAAAACAGTGACGAGCCTGGTCAATAATTTTACCATCGATCTCTCGTTCTATCGTTAGATCCAATATCGAATCCGTAGATCACGTTTATCTGTTGCATTCTATCTGTCTCTCGATCTCTCGTACACTTTCGTTTTTTGGTATATACTATGTACGACATGGGAACTGAATTTTTTTTCTTTTTGAGATTGTATCTTATAAATGAAGAAAAAAGAAAAAGAAAAAAAAAAGAGAAAAGAAAAGAAAAATAAAGTCGATCGATTAGAGGTTATGTAATAACGCCATTTTATTAAGCACATATGACAATCGTTACATTCAATTATTAAATATACAAATGTACATTCATTTTATATCTATTCATTCTATTTCATAACATTTTTATCGTATTTAATTTTATATATATATATATATTAAGGATTTTACGTGTTGGTAAGAAAATACCTTTGCGTAGCGCGGCATTCCTCTGTGCGTTTAAATAGAATAGAAAAAATGCACAACACGTAATTTCATTTACTTTTCATTTTAACGCGTGTGCGTATTAACGTAACGAATAATATTGCATAGTTATTCTTGTTACACCGTTGGATACATAATTTTGTTGGTAAGTGTTTAACGATAATGTGTACAGATAAATATAAAATAAAAGAAAATTTTTTTTACTTGTAAATAATAATACAGATATTGTCTGACACACAATATATACACAAACACACATACATACACATATACATACAAATACGTACATACATACAAAAGTCATCGGTAGACAAAAAAAAAAAGGAATTTTCGTTTCACATGATCGAATATCAGACGGATAAATACGTAAACAAATATATATATATATATATATATATATATATATATATAATACATAAATAGAAATGAGACATTTAAATATTCAGTTTAGTCATCATTGAGTTACATCGAAAAGGTTTACAAACTCGATTCGTAAGTCAGGGAACTTGGAAGGTACAAAGTTCTCGCGTTCGCCCGTTCGGATGTTGTATTCTGTATTGGCGAGTGTCCAAGTTTCGGTTCTGCTCTCACCGTATTCTCTCCTCTCTTCTTTCTCTCTCTCACTCTCTCTCTCTCTCTCTCTCTCTCCTAAGCTATTCTGCCATTGCCAATTCCACCTCGGTTGCGCTACGTGCTATCTTGTCTTCCACGAATGCAATGGTGTGCACGCGCGAGAATCTCTCCTCTATCCACTTTTACGTGCAGTACATGCATATACAGTGTGTCTTTAGTTTTTCCGAATAAACTTTTTAAATCTCTTAAGATCTACTCGTTGCATTTTTCAAGAACGTATAAAAACTACACATGGTTATTTTTTTTTTTTGTTTTTTTTTTGTTTTGCTACATAAAAGTATTTTCTTACCAACACGTAAAGTACTCAGTATATATATATGCGCAATCAAAGTATATATATATATATATATTCAAATACGATAAAAATTATATGAAATAAAATAAATAAGTATAAAATGAATGTATGTATGTGTATTTAATAATTGAATATATTGTCATATATGTTTAATAAAATGGCGTTATTACATAACCTCTAATCAATCGGCTTCATCTTTCTTCTTTTTTTTTTTTTTGTTTTACTTCTTTTCTTTTTATTTGTTTATTTATTTTTTGTTTCTAAACTTGAATGAAACACTATTTCTTGAGAAAAAAAAAAAAATATATATATATATATATGAAAGGAAACTTATATTTTTGCACATATAAGTAAACTTTAATCTTATAAGATCTTGCTGAATTTTAATGGAATTTATAAAAAATTAATCCTTTTTTTATTTTAATATATAAATATTTAAAAACAACTATAAATATAATTAAATTGCTAACTATAAGTACAGCTATAAATATAATTAAACTACAAACTAATAAATATAACAATTATAAATTATAAATAAACTTTAATTCCTTAATCCTTATAGTAACCTCTGAAAGTTTACCATTCTTGAAAAGAATTATCAGTCTTATTAAAATTTTTGGAAAAAATATGCGATTATTGAGATATCTATTAAAATTAACATATTTCTCTTAACAATGAAGACATTTTTTTTTCTTTCTTTTTTGTTTCATTATTTTTATTATAAAATTTATATAGTTTTACATAAAAGAAAGAAAAAAAAATAACTTATTTTTATTATATTTATAAATATAATAAAATCAAAAATAAAATAACATTGCACGTGTTTAAATTATATTTAAAAAAGATTAAGTTATTTAAGAAGGGTATTAAAAAGATTAAGAAAGAACTTGCTGAATTTTAGAAGAACGTATAAAGAATTCACACCATTTCTTTCCATTTTTTTTTTTTTTTATTTTATTACATAAATGTTAATAAACTTGAATAAAACATTATTTTCCAAAAAGAAGAACCCTTTTATTTTTATACACATAAATAAACTTTAAGATCTCATTGAATTTTAATAAAACGTATTAAAAAAGAAACAATTCACATCTTTTTTATCTCTTTCTTTTTTTTTTTTTTTTGTTAACTTTTTATTTTTTCTCTTATCTTCTGTCTCTCTTATTTTCTTTTTCTTTTTTTTTTTTTTTTTTTTTTTGTTTCTTTTTTACTTTACTATATAAATCTTTATTAACTTGAATGAAGTATTGTTTTTCGAGAAGAAAAAAATTTTTATTTTTGTACGTACATACAAGAAAAAATTGTACCTCTTAAATCTAGCTACGTAATATTGGGTTCATTAAGGGTTCGCCTAACACGTTCGAAGACGAGTGGAAGACGATAACATTTCTATAAAATCTAATATTACATAGATGAAATATTTCTCGAACTGTATAGAAAAAAACTTAATATTGCAAAGTTGGATTTTTAAAAGATTTAGAATATATTTAAATAAAAAAAAAAAAAAAAAAAAAAAAAAAAAAAAAAAAAAAAAAAAAAAAAAAAAAAAAAAAAAAAAAAAGAAAAAGAAAAGAAATAGATCAATCAATCAATCAAATTTACGTAAAAATAGATACTTTCCAAATGCGATTTATTATTTAAATTATATTGAAAAAGAAAAAAAAAAGATGAAAAAAAAAATAAAACAAGAACAAATTTTTTTTTTTTTTTTTTTTTACGGAAACTCTTTTCTCGATACTTTCCAAATATGACTTATTATTTAAATTGTATTGAAAAAGAGAAAAAAAAGATGAAGAAAAGAAAATAAAAAAAAAAAAAAGAAAGAAGAAAGAAAACAACGAGAACAAATTTTTTTGTTTACGAAAGTAAACAACAATGATACTTCATTATAATATATTTATTACAAATAGTCGGTGATATCTTATGAACGTTACGTTATATAACAAATTCGTTTCGTTCGTCATTCGAAAAAAACGCAGGTATATAATGTTACTAATGCAAACGGGTTATTAAAATTTATCTGGGGGAAAAAGAAAAAAAAAGAAAAAAGAAAGAAAGATATTGTGAACAAAGTATATCCACGAGTACAACAGAAATATATCCATATATCCATACATATGTATATATATATATATATAACGAATATATATATATATATATATATATATATATATATATATATATTCGTCAACCTGTTGATGACAGAGACGCAAAGAATTGGATTAAATTAATTCATCGTCATTGGAGTTTACGCATCGCTAGGTGACTTTTCTCTCATGACTTTAATGAATACAATTTTTTTTCCTTTTTTTTTTCCTTTTCTTTTTTTTTTCTCTCTCTCTCTCTCTCTCTCTCTCTCACTATAGAAACTCTCTTACGTACCTAACGTGTCCTCGATTTCCTTATAATATCCGTTGAATTTTTCAACGATTTTTCCAACGATAGCGACGATCTAAGTCAGACATTTACAAGAATCCATATTTAGAATTGAAAAGAAAAGGAATGATAGTACGATTGAGTT